TCGTAAGCAGCTCCCTCTGCTCTGCCAATTGTGTGGCCAGCAGATCGCGCTCTGCGGCGAGGTTGCTGCACTCCTCCCCTTTGGCGCGCAATGTGGAGTTGGCTTCACTCAGCTGCTGTTGAAGGGCGGCATTGGCCTCTGAAGAGAAAGAAGAAAGAAGGCGTTAAGTCATCAACGAAGAAGGTCGCTGGGGAGATCCGGCCCGACTGCTCAGCAGTCGGCCCGAATCTCGAGGACTACAGCCCGCGGGTGCGCCAGCGCGCCCCCGCAAAGAAGAAAAATGACTCACTCCGGCTCTCCGACAAGTCGGCAGTCCGATTGCCCAGCTCTTCAATGTTACGGTTGAAGGCGGTGACACGGAGGTTGTGATAGTCCTGCAAACAAGTATTTCAGAACAAAGGTTAGTACCCGGAACTTACCAATTGGAGTTCCGGGCCGCCTGCTCTGCAGCCAGCCCAGAACTCGGGGACTACACCCAGTGGGTGTGCTGGCGCGCCCCCACAGAGAGAAACAAGAAAACAAGGACAAAGGAGAAATCATACCCGGATGGCTGCCCGCGATGCCAGGTGCGCCTTGGTGCAGTTCTGGATGGCGTCGCTCTCGGCTCGCAGCTTCGTCTGGACATCCAGAAGCGCCTGGTTCAGCGGGTCCGTGCCGCCTCCTCGCACCCACTCAATGGGCGCGGCACTCGTCGCCTCGGCGTATGGAATCGTCGAGCTGGCAGTGCCGGTCTCCAAGGGGCGTGGCGCCGAAGTCGCCTTCCCAAGACGGCGGCGCGTTGGCAAACCGACTTGAAGGAGTAGCCTCGCCACGGCCTCATCTTCAGTCGGCGGCAAGGGTGGATCCGCCAGCTGTTTGCCTTGCGCGCTTCTAGACGGCGGCGGGGGCGGCTGTGGCAGCGCGACCACGTCCGGCACGGGGGCGTCGCCGCCGCCTCTCTCCATGATCGGGAACTCGCCGCCGGCTTCCCCTGACTGCCTCGTGAACTCCGGAGGCGGCGGCGCGGAGTTCAAAGGGGTGACGAACACCGCCGATCGCCGGGGTGCGACTTCCTTAGCCGGCTGCTTTGCCGCAATGGCGGCCTCGGCCGCCTCCAACTTCTTCAGGGCGGAGGCCTCCGCCTTCTCGGCCTCCGCTTTCTCCCGGCGGGCGGCCTCATCCTCCTCGCGCTTCTCCCGCGCGTTCTGCTCCGTCGCCTCCCGAAGGTCGGCGGCGGGGTCAATCCGCCGAGTGGTGGCAGACGTCTCCACCGACCCCATGACGGAGGCGGCGGCAACCCTCTCAAGAGTGAGGGGAGCCCTGAGGCGAGGAAAGCATATGAAAAACTCAGATAAGATTAACAAAGAGAAAATAAAGATAAGGGACGGAGGCGCTTATGCAGAGACCAGCGGCGGCTTCTTCACCTCCTTGCGGAAGCGGTTGGCTTTCGCGGCCGCCTCTTCCCGCTTGGTCATGGCGGCCGCTCCCTTGAACTTCTTCGACCGGCCACCAAGCGTACTCAGCCCGGCCCGGCGCTTCTTCACACCGCCTTGAGCGTCCAAGCCGGCGGAGGAACTCGCGCTTGGCTGGCCGGCTTTTGGCTGGCGACGCGGGGCGACTTCTCCCTCGGCATCGTCGTCAGGCCAGTCGGCGAAAGTGGCCGAAGGCCTAGAGCCGCCTGTCTCTCCTCCTCCTCCCTCGGCGTCGGCTTCCATGTCTGCCGCCCCCAAGTCAGGATCGTCGACGTCGCTCTCCCCCCGATCGGGGATAAACTGACGAGCCGGCCCCACGGTGCCGACCGAGGGAGGGACGCGAGGATTCTGATTCAAGACAAAAACGGTCAGACTTGACAAGTCAAACTCGGCAGCAAAAGAAACAGAAGAAGAAGGAAGACGACTTACAAGAGGCGGGGGATTGGCGCGTGAATACAGCTCCTTGGTAGGCGTGGCCACGGTAAGGTCCACTCCCACCGTTTTCCAAGGGTAGGCGTGGCCACAGTACGCCGTACCTGCGGAGATCTCCGCCCGGTGCGACACTGTTGCCATGCCGGCCCTGATGTCAGCCCCAGTGGGCGGAGTCCTGTGCCCACGACGGCCTGCCGGTACGACCCAGGGATGACGGGTCCCACCAGTCGGGGGGCGTACGGAAGACAGCAAGAGCGCTACCAGTCGGCCAAGTTGGGAGTCGGCCCCCAGGAGTTGGCCGGCCCCTCCCACAGGCCCCACGCGCCATTAACCAGACGCGACAGGGAGTGGCAACAATGATTGCCCTCCAGACGACGGAGCTGTTGCAACGACCCCATGACCGAGCGCGCGTCATTAGAAGCATGGCTACAGTAATCTATAGCCGGCAAGACCCGCCCGCGGCGGACGCGGCCTGTCGGCTCCGTACCGAGCCAGTCGGCGGGCCCCAGGAGTCGGCGGATAAGACGGCGGCCAGAGAGACTGACGGCTGGGCCCGCATCTAGCTGGATTACCATTGTACCCCTGGGGGTAGGCCTATATAAACCCCTAGGGCACCCATGCAAAGGGTTGGAATCCATTAGTACTAGACCAGATCATATAGGAAGGAGAGAGCTAGCCTTGCCTTCTCCTACCTCCAAGAAACAGCTCAAGGAGCAACCATGTAAATAGGGATGGCAATGGGTCGGGTTTGGGGCGGGTGGAGCTGGTCCAAATCCAACCCATGACCCATCTTCCTACCCTCTACCCATCCACCAAATTATCCATGGGCACAACTTGTGCCCATGCCCAAACCCGCTGGATACCCACATACCCATGGAGCTCCATGGGCGTAGAAAAGTCAGCATGAAGCCTTTCCAAAGATCAAATTAACTCATCATCATTCACTCACAAATGACAACATAATCTACATGCATAATTAGGCAACAAGTAATATGATGAGTCCTTAAGTGTGACATACCATAGGTTGATTCTGCAGCATATGGCTCATGGCACAAGTTGCATATTTCCTGCCATTTCCCATTGATTCGCTCTTTCTACTGTCACGGTATATGGCCCTACATGTCATACAAGTATCTATTGGATATCCATGGAGCACAAACTATAACCATGCCCAACCCAACTGTTCGTGGGTATCCATATCCACGGACGCATGGGCAGAAATGTGCTCCATACCCTTGCCCAACCGGGTCGGGTACCCATGGGTATCCATATCCATGGATAAAATTGCCATCCCTACATGTAAACACTTTGCCATAGTGATCATGTGGAGACCCCGTAGAGCAGCAGCAGGGGTATTATCTCCCCGGAGAGCCCTGAAGCTGGGTAAGATTCACCGGCGTGCATGTCTTCGCCTCATCCCGTTTCCAGGCACCGGCGATGTTCTACTCGCCCCCACCATGATAAGCCATCCTTTGGCATATGTCGCACCCAAACCCCGACACCATGGAATCAAGAAGTTGTGCCTCATGAATTTGATCTTCCAAAGTAGGAGAGACTTGGATATTGGCCAGAAAGCCTTGAGGAACAACTTGGAGATTCAGTTTGCGGAAAGCTTCACAAAGGTCCGGTTGGAAGGGCCTGAGAATTAAGCTGTTGTAGTAAGCCTTCCCGCTCCAAGCATCTGCAACGACATTGGCCTTGCCTGGAGTATATTCAATACTCGGATTGCACATTGCGGCCGATCTGCTCATGCAGGCAATTCTGTACACACCGTTGATAGGTGGCTTGGGCATTCTTGAGCCCAAAGGGCATAGATACATAGCAGAAGGCTCCAAAGGGAGTAATAAATGCTGTTTTCTCCTGGTCCTTAACCGCCATCTTGATCTGATGATATTCAGAGTATGCATCCAAAAAACTCAAACGCTCACAACCCGCCGTGGCATCAATGATCTGGTCAATACGGGGGAGGGCAAAAGGATCTGCCGGACAGGCTTTGTTAAGATCTGTGTAATCCACACACATACGCCAAGTGCTGTTTTTCTTAAGAACCAGCACCGGATTAGCAAGCCACTATGGATGGAACACCTCAATAATAAAACCAGCTGCTAAAAGCCTGGCCACTTCCTCTCCAATGGCTTTGCGTCTTTCTTCGTTAAACCGGCGGAGGAAGTGTTTCACCGGTTTATACTTAGGATCCACATTAAGAGTGTGCTCAGCGAGTTCCCTCGGTACACCTGGCATGTCAGACGGCTTCCATGCAAAAATGTCTCGATTCTCACGGATGAACTCGTTCTCCTCCAAGCAGAATGAAGGACGCCATGGAGGCGGCTATTCCGAGGCATATTGTATATATATCTGGTGTCACCGTTTGCATCGTATCAAAAATAGCCATTCCTGAGATTAGCCACCCGCCCGGGGAGTTTATAAACAAAAAAATATCACTAATTCCATCTTCTATACTCAGATATACCATGAGACCTGTAATATGATTCGTGATCTCGCAACGAATCTCTTGACCTAAAAAAAGTGTCCTTTCTCGATACATAACATTGTATAAGTCAACCCAAGTCGCTTCTTCATCTCCAGGAATCCAGTAAGGTACTTTTGGAACACCAATGGGCATATTAGATTAATATTATTAAATTTAAGTAAGAAAACCACACTTTAATATGGAAACGTAAGAATGGAACAGAAAGAAAGAATCCGCAGTTTATTGTCTTAATTTTTATTCTTATTCTATATGAATACTATAGATTCTATTAATACGTAGATTGAAAGGTTATACATATAAGGAATGTAAGACAGATTGAATAAAGAAAAAGGAATGGGTGATTCGAATGCTAAACAAAGAGGGGTAGCGATCTATTCTTCGTTTTTTCCAAATTGGCCAAGTTACCCATTGCATATTGGCACTTATCGAGTATAGAATAGATCTGCTTCTCTTTCTTCTTATGAACAGAATTGGCTTCTTATTTTTAATGGAATGAAATAAATATTCGCGCTTTCTGACACAGAATCCCCTAGAAGGGTTAGGTACATAGAATATGGATAGTCTTTTTCAATGCGATAAAATAAAGCGACATCGTGTCTATTTTTCTTTGCTAAAGGGGTATTTCCATGGGTTTGCCTTGGTATCGTGTTCATACTGTCGTATTGAATGATCCGGGTCGATTGCTTGCGGTGCATATAATGCACACAGCTCTAGTTTCTGGTTGGGCTAGCTCAATGGCTTTATACGAATTAGCAGTTTTTGATCCCTCTGATCCTGTTCTGGATCCAATGTGGAGACAAGGTATGTTCGTAATTCCCTTCATGACTCGTTTAGGAATAATGGATTCGTGGGGTGGTTGGAGTATTTCAGGAGGAACTGTAACAAATCCGGGTATTTGAAGTTATGAAGGTGTGGCAGGTACGCATATTGTGTTTTCTGGCTTGTGTTTCTTGGCAGCGATCTGGCATTGGGTATATTGGGACCTAGAAATATTCTCTGATGAGCGGACGGGAAAACCCTCTTTGGATTTGCCCAAGATCTTTGGAATTCATTTATTTCTTGCAGGGGTGGCTTGCTTTGGCTTTGGGGCATTTCATGTAACGGGTTTGTATGGTCCTGGGATATGGGTATCCGATCCTTACGGACTAACTGGAAAAGTACAAGCTGTAATCCAGCGTGGGGTGCAGAAGGTTTTGATCCTTTTGTTCCGGGGGGAATAGCTTCTCATCATATTGCTGCGGGTACATTTGGTATATTAGCGGGCTTATTCCATCTTAGTGTCCGTCCGCCTCAACGTCTATATAAAGGATTACGTATGGGCAATATTGAAACTGTACTTTCCAGTAGTATCACTGCTGTTTTTTTTGCAGCTTTCGTAGTTGCTGGAACTATGTGGTATGGGTCAGCAACGACCCCAATCGAATTATTTGGGCCTACTCGTTATTAGTGGGATCAGGGATACTTTCAGCAAGAAATATATCGAAGAGTTAGCAATGGTTTAGCCGAAAATCTTAGTTTATCAGAAGCTTGGTCTAAAATTCCCGAAAAATTAGCCTTTTATGATTATATTGGTAATAATTCGGCAAAAGGGGGATTATTCAGAGCAGGTTCAATGGACAATGGGGATGGAATAGCTGTTGGATGGTTAGGACATCCCGTCTTTAGAGATAAAGAAGGACGTGAGCTTTTTGTACGCCGTATGCCTACTTTTTTTGAAACATTTCCGGTTGTTTTGGTAGATGAGGAGGGAATTGTTAGAGCAGACGTTCCTTTTAGAAGAGCAGAATCCAAATATAGTGTTGAACAAGTAGGCGTAACGGTCCGGATCAACATTGTCCTTATAATACTTCAACTCCTCCGTGGCACAGACTGACTCCGCATAAGCCGCATCACCTTCCTCACATTCCAAAGCGACCCTACGGCTCCCATGAACCGTTATGGTCCCCTTGTAACCCGGCATCTTGAGCTGCAAGTAGATATAACAAGGCCACGCCATGAACTTGGCGTAAGCCGGCCGGCCAAATAAGGCGTGATACGGGCTCTGGATCTTCACCACCTCAAATGTTAGCTTTTTCGACCGGGAGTCGTGCTCGTCCCCAAAGGCCACATCCAGGGCTATCTTACCAACAGGATATGCAGATTTGCCAGGCACCACACCATGGAACACCGTATTCGATGGTCTGAGATCTTTGTCTGTTAAACCCATGCGGCGAAATGTCTCATAGTACAGTATGTTAATACTGCTTCCTCCATCCATGAGTACTTTGGTGAATTTATAACCCCCCACCTGAGGGTCTACCACTAATGCTAGCTGGCCCGGATTATCAATCCGGGGCGGGTGATCCTCTCTGCTCCACACGATAGGCTGCTCCGACCAGCGCAAGTAACGTGGTAAGGCCGGTTCAACAGAATTCACCGCTCGCCTGTGGAGCTTTCGGTCGCGTTTATCCAAACTAGTTGTGAAAACATGATATTGCCCATTGCTCAACTGCTTTGGCTGGCTCTGATAACCTAACTGCTGCTGCTGCTGCTGCTGCTGGCCGCTCCGATTATTCTGGCCATTGTGACCGCCCTGATTGAAACCTGAACTGGAAGCTCCATCGTGACCCGGACCGTGTAAACCGGATCCTGAACCGCCACCTGACCCATGGTCATACCGGAAGGCATTAGTGTTTTTAAACTCCTGCATGATATAACAATCTTTCCAAAGATGGTTAGCCGGCGCCTCCTTCGTCCCGTGCTTCGGGCAAGGCTGATTCAACAAATAGTTCAAACGGCTTGCGTTAGGATTGGGAGCCCCATTACGATTTGCCGCTTTACCTCTGCGCCGCTGCCCCCCGTCCTATGCATTAGTGTTGGCCACAAAATCCACGCTGCCATCCGCTTTGCGCTTGCCTCCGTTTCCATGACCCACTAGTTTGTACTGCTGCTGCTTGGAGTTGCTGTTCTTCTTTCCCTTCCCTGCTTCATCATCATTAGGCTCGGGATCCTTGGTACTGTCCGAATCGGCATACTTCACTAAAGCGGCCATGAGGGTTCCCATGTCATTACAAAACCGCTTCATGCGTCCCAACTTCAATTTTAGAGGCTCAAACCGGCAGTTGCCCTCCAGAGTTAAGATCGCAGAGTCGGCATTAATCCTGTCAGACGAGTGCAAAATTTTCGAAACGCGGCGCACCCAACGGGTCGTTGATTCTCCTTCCTCCTGGACACAAGCTGCCAGATCTACTATGGACTTGGGCTGCTTACAGGTATCCTTAAAATTCTGTATAAACCGGGCCCGCAACTGGGCCCATGAGCTGATAGAATTGGGCGGTAGGCTCTTTAACCAAGTACGAGCCGTGCCCTCAAGCATCATGGTGAAGTATTTTGCACATGCGGCCTCATCCACGTCCAGCATTTCCATGGCCATTTCATAACTCTCTACCCATGCTTCAGGGGATAAATCAGCGGTGTAATTCGGCACCTTGCGTGGACCCTTGAAATCTTTGGGCAGGCGCACATTACGTAAAGCTGGGATTAAGCAAGGCACTCCCAAAGCGGATGTGATTCCTGGTCCGGCAAAGGTGGTAGAACGAACCGGTGTAAGTTGGCCCGCATTATCCCGTGCTGCTAACTCGGCCTCCCTTTGTGCCCGGGCCCGGTCCACCATATCCCGAGCATCGCCAACACCACCTGCCGGGTCATCACCATGGGCCGCTTCACGGCCTCGCGCATTGCTTGATATAGCCGGTTCATCCATGCGCCTACTATAGCTCCGGCTCGGACGGGGCGTAGAATGAACCCGATCACGGCTGTACGAGTATGCCTCCTGCTGAATCAGCGCAGTCCGGAGAAGCTCCTTAACCCGGCGCGTCTCTATCGCTTGCGGAGAATCCCCTTCGACTGGGATGGCCTCTAGCCGTGCAGCGGCCGCAACAAGGTTGTCCATAGGATTCGAATAATGACCTGGGGGTGTCTGGACCGGCGGAGGAACCGCAATGTTTTGGTGAGGAGGTTCCATCAGGCGAGGTTGGACCGTCGCTCCTGGCCCTGGTGCCTCAATCCGGTTTGTCTCCGGGTACCGCGGCGGATTACTGGGTCCAACTCCTGGAGTGTGAAAGAGATTTCGGGGGTCAAACCCTAATGGCAGGCGTGATCTGTGCTTCTGCTTCAAAACCTCCTGTGATGCATTCTGGTCAAGCATGATTTTATAGGCCTGTGCGTCCAAAGCGGCCCGCTCTGCAGCCATCCGGTCTTTTTCTGCTGCCAGATCCGCTTTGGCTTGCACGATCTGCTCTCTCACCTTCGCAATTTCTGCATTATGGGCCTCCTGATCTGCCGGATTGTCCTCTGCCATAAGCGCGGCTAGTGCATCAAACAGCTCAGATAAAACTTGAACCGGCGGGCGCACAAGGCCTCCTGCCCCAACTGCGGCTGCCGCTGCTGATCCGGAGAGCATTGCTGCGGCGGTCGAAGAATGATTCGCCGCCTGTGTGCCGGCCATGAATATTCCAACCCGGTTGACCTGGCCCGGGGGGTCCGGAATACTGTCGCCATCGGAACAGCCCCTAATCTGGTTGTCTTGCAACTGGTATAGCGATTCGGTCTCTCCAGTCGAGGACTCGTCATCGGAATAGACGACGGTCTCAGTACCGTGTTCTGATCTGTCCTCACGCTCTCCTTCGTGGACGACTCCAACGAAGACACGCTTCATGGCCGGTTTAGCCCAGGTAGATCTCGCACGCTGAGCCATCTCGATGAGGTCGGTGCAGATGTCCGGCTCAGGCCCAAGCTCACCGATTTTGCCAATGAAAACGTGTATGCCACCAAAGGGGACCCGGTACCCGTATTCAATCGAATCGGCCTCGGGACCCCATCCTGCGTCGTCGATGTAGATCCTGCCCCGACGACTCTTGGTCATCCGGCCCACAACATAGCCTTCGAGTCCCTTGAGCTTGCCCTCCAAGATCGTCAAACCATCGTGCGATAGCCCCACGGTGGGCGCCAACTGTCGTGGATTTGTCACGGCAGATGTCCTAGCGAAAGGACTTAGTCCTGGAGCCATCGCTACGAGTTTACTTGAAGGGGTTAAAGCGGACACAAAGACACGAGGGTTTTATACTAGTTCGGCCCCTTCGATGAAGGTAAAAGCCTACGTCTAGTTGTGATGGAATTGATATGATCTCGATGGCTAGGGAGCAAACAAGCTTCGCCTAGGCTCGAGTTGTGGTTGTCTGTCCTGAACCGCCACCGGGTCGTCCCCTTATATACACGGGTGACGCCCGTCGGTCCATAGAGTCCTAACCGGTTCATACTCGTAATGCGGTTGCTATCTCTCTATTCCTTACATACAATACAAGTCATACATCAGGCCAGTTTACGGCTATATGCTCTAACCGACTACATGCCTTGGGCCTTCATCTGTTTACGCCACTAATGAAGTTAACCCGGCCCAAGTAGGCCGGTTTACACCTAGTGGTAATATCCCCAACAGATTGTATTCTTGAATCATTTCAACCCATCGAGTCTGCCTGAGGTTGAGGTTGGGTTGGGTGAAGATGTACTTGAGGCTCTTACGATCTGTGAAGATGTCCACTTTCCTTCCCAACAAGAGATGTCTCCACGTTAATAATGCATGGACAACTACCGCCAACTCAAGGTCGTGAGTGGGGTAGTTCCTTTCGTTGGGCTTCAATCGACAAGAGGTATAAGCCACAACTTTCTTCTCTTGCATTAACACAGCACCGAGACCTTGTAAGGAGGCATCACAGAAAACTTCAAATGGCTTGGATTCCTCAGGAGGAGTCAAGACAGGAGTTGTGACCAGCTTCTCTTTGAGGGTGCTGAAAGCAAAGTCACACTCAGGCGTCCAAACATACTTGACATGCTTCTGGAGGAGGTTGGAAAGAGGCTTTGC